ATTTTTGTTTTCATCTACTCATTACAGATCTCTTTTGCATGAGCAAAAGATTAGGATTCCTCTCACCTAACTTTTGCCATGGAAATGTATGGAATCTTATCTAATGTAGACTATCAGAGTCCCTATAGAGGTCATATCAGACATCCAAATGCCATCTTATCCCCTCCAAGAAATATCATGGGATAGCTCATGCCCTGAAAGTGCTGGGGGGACAAATTAGGCTAGATTAGATGTTTAATGTTAGGTGCCCACAGTTCAGTGGAAGGAGTGTCATCCATATGTTTAACCAAGACGAAAGGCAGCTCCCTGGAGGTCCTATCCATGTCCTACTTACAAATTTCATTTGATCATCCCAGGATACAGCTATATGCTGCTCCTTGACTCATTCCGAGCCAATAGGGACTCAACTGTGTTAGGAGGGCTACACATTAGACCCCTGCAAGCTCGCAGGTGGCATTAGCGGAGCTACCTGCAGTAGTCTAACTGCTTGCTTCAATATCTGCAGGGGCTCACTCTCACAGTATTTCATAGGGAGCTCTTCCCTTTGTTTTGTGCAGTTGTGCAGAGTTGTGTGTGTGAACCAGAACTGGAAGGGGTGGGGAGCGATGACAGTTGGGTATTGCTTCTGTCTGAACCATCAGGACCTGGATATTAACAGTATATGACATACATCCAATGAATTTGACTTTATTTTTTCTGTCCTAATGAAGTTAGATAATGCTACAAAGGATTAGTTAACATCTTTCAAAGTGAAGGTATGGAGAGAGTGTGTTACTTCTAAATCTCTCTACAGATGAATCAGGAAAAAAAGAGATGACAGACCTTTCCTGTCCATCATACTGAATTTGCCAAAAGGCCACCAGTCAGAGGCCAGGAACGGTAGGAACCATGTTTTGTATGAAAGTGCTCACAACAAATGAGATATAAATAGGATCAAATGGCACTTAAAATAACTTTGGGCACAATATCAAAAAAGGGAATGGTAAAAGACAATAAAAAAGAGTTCTTGATTTAGATTTTCTGAATTGAAACATACTGCAGAGAAAAAGATACTTTTTAAAATTCAAATGAAAAAGCTATCTGACAGAAAAGTATAAAATGCAAGTTTAAAATGATGGAAGACAAAAAAAAAAAAAGAGGCAATCTTCATGATGGATTATGATTTAAAACATCCACAATACCATAAGATGATCCATAAAACAGGAACTCATGGATCAGGGGAGGGAAGATACAGCTGAGGCTGCAACGACATCTGACAACAGTGCCGGTATTGTTTCAATGCATTTGACCAACGTTGAAGGATTTTGAGTTGAACTATGCAAATGCACGCATATATTGGTGTGCTTAGCTCCACAAAGGGAAGCTGCCAGGCCTGCGTTACTCTAGAAGGAGGCACTACCTGCCTGCAGAGAAGCAGGATCCAGACAGCTCTGTTCTAGATGGCTTGAGAACAGGAATATACCAGAATGAATGATGAATTCAGTCCTTGCAGTCAGTAGGCCCACTAAGCACAAGGAAGGGAAGCAGAGCAGGAAAGAGAAGAAAAATGCATTCATGAAGGAGGGGAAAGGAGAGCAGAAGTAAATTTAGAGCACCAGAAGAAAAAAGGCGTTTGGCAAGCCTGAAACTCAGAAGGATCTTGCCTCACTGAGTGGGATTCCAGAGCTTGGTTATTCCCATCCCTGCCCACTTACATCAATTAATTTTATAGTTGAAGATTAAAAACTGTCAGTGATAATTTTTATTGTTTAACTTGTGCGCGATTGACAATTTGCTTTTGGAGAAGCTGCGGGAAACAAATCCCTATTACAAATGTCATTGTCTATGCATTGAAAGAAGGCTGGAATGCTCTGGTCAAGGGACAGCAAGTAAAGCGCTTTAATAACAGAAGGTGCCAAAAATATTTTCATCTATCTCCTGCACACGGTACTGACGAATGTCATGAAATAATGAAAATCTTCTGGATTTGTGAATGGCATAAAAATTTAATGTCAAATGACATCAGGACTATGCTAGGCATGTTAAGGTTTCTAAATGCCACGAGACATTTTATCCTTTATTTACCATGAGATAGGATATTAGTCATTTGAAGAGCATATTCTCCATTAGGCAGAAAAGTCACATTAACTCTTTGTTTCCCAGTATTTCACCCTATACTTGCTATAAACATAAAAAAGATTTTCTCTTGCTCACAACTTTGGCATAAGCTTTCATGTTCCCGCAGAGGGATCAAAGATTAAGACATAAACATTAACCAGATGATTGATTTCCTTGAAAGCTATTCAATGATACTCACTACTACAAAGGAAGAACTGCTTCACAAACTTTAATGGCATTAATCTTGCAACAAACCCTATAAAACAAGAAACAATCTTACCCTCCCTTTATTTAAGGCCCTATCTGCTTTCCACATTTGTGTGTGATTGTACGAAGTGCACAGCTCAGAGAAAAATCAAAGCTCTCGTTTGTGCTTTGGAAATGGCACCAGTTTCTCTGTTTAGAGAAGCAAATACTAGCACCTATGCTCTGCAAAGGGGGGATTCACCCATGCTGTAAGACATTTACATCTGCCAGAGCCACTCTAAAATAATTTGATTGTAAATGGAGAGAAAAATAAGTTTTATTGATGTTATTCAACTGATCCTTAAACTGAAGTCTGTAAGTCAGATGAACTGCACCTTGATTTCTCACCACTGGCTGTAAATCAAGCTCAGAGATAGGTTTACACATGGAAAACTCTAAAAGCAGTTGATATGAATGCCATTCCAGCTTAAAAATCAGTTCCATAAATCCAGGTATCCTAGCACCAGTTGAGGCATCCTCATGGTTTTCTTAAATCCCCCAGGATATCCCAAATGACACCAGATGCTTATGTTTAGGAAACTGAATGGAGCCCTCAGTGGCTACAGTGCAGGTGCCTACCTGCAAGCTCAGTGCCTGCATTTCTACTACAAAGCAGAAAATTCACCTACACAGCAAATGACACCTACAGAGTTGTTCGGGTTTGCACATACCATTGTCTGCTGCCTGCACTGACTATTTTACTGTTGACATTGGTGGGATCCTAGACACATACCTCATACAGACACACCTGCATGAGAAACTGCAGAAATTAAGAGTGCTGAATCCCCTTTCTCCAACAAAGCAAGTCACTGTGTGCTTCATCATATTAAACAAGGGTAGGTATTTTCATGGTACTGTTCATCTGATCTCTTTAAGTGGCTAATTTATGAGATGAATCATGCCCTAACCATCACTGACCAGATCAGCTAGCCCTCTAGTGACTGGAATTCCCAAATGAGAGTCAAATGCAGAAAACTACATTTAAACAGAGGAAACTCATCCAAAATAATGTGAAAGCCCTCTTGAAGGCTGCTGACATCGCCAGCTGCAAGGCTAGATGACATTTGCTGAGCTGACTGCTCACAGAGCAGCATAAATGCCAGCAGCCATGCTACAACATGGGTATGCAGGGAAGGGTCATGTGTTGGCTCATGTTTAAGGCTATTTCTTGGCCTGGCATATCGAGATGAGTGCACAGAGAGCCCAAGTGATGCCCTGACTGGTCTTCGTGGAGGTAATGGGTGCACTCATTTCGCTTGTCTAAGCACAGGTCTTTTGAGGCATCCAGTAACATGGAAGAACTGCACCTTTCTGCAGGCAAACCTGGAGACCAGCTGAGATGTCCTAGGACATCCCAGAGAGCAGTAGATGCCCCTGAATGGGCAAATCTATTGAGTCTCATAAGCCTAACCTCTTGCACAACTCAAAGCATCCCACTTACATTTGCTTAAGTTCAACACAGGCACAATGATTTATGCATATGCACTGCTTTCCTCATTGCTCTGCTCTGGTGGGATCACGCATTAGAAAAACTTCTTAAAGGTTGTTTTTCTTCCTGTTTAACTAATCCTGATGGGTCTCTGAAACCCAGTGGGCATATTTTGTGCTCAGGAGGGGAGAGAGCACAAAGCATCCACAGCAGGCAATTATTCCAAATGGCTAGACCAATGGGCAGGGGTCTCATCCTGCAAGATGTGATATTACAGCAGCTTCTGCCTGCTTCCCCTGGGTGTCAATGCAGGAGTGGTGAACTACTGGGAAATTTTGGAAAACGGAAGGTTACAGCACTAGGATAGGACTCTGCAGACCCAGAAGGGAAATTCAAAATCTCCAAAGACTTTTGGTGTGGCCTTGGGCAAGTCATGTAATCAGCATGTGCTGGTTAATCAGTGTAGTGGCCTGGTCTGTTAAACAGGGATGATATTGTACCCTTAATCCCACTCATAATCTATCCTATGTGTTTGGACTGTAAAGCTGTAAAAGTGGAGACTTATCAGCTTGGTGCATAATCTCCAGTGCAAAAAAGATTAGTTCTCTGTGGAGGTTTGCAAGGCTACTATAGTAAAAGTGGTAAATAATGACTATAAACTACCAGGAGACAAAAAGTCCTGTTGCTGCATGGCCTTTGAGACCCGAGTTTTAAATTAAAGCTTCCCAGAACATGCCGAACAGTAAGTCAAGCCACTTTCTCCATTAACCTTCCCTGCCCATTATTTGTCAGGTTAATTTCTTGGCCTGTGGCCAAATTTGTCATTTCAGCAGAAAAATACTTGATTACATACAGTTTCAGCTTGTTTATTTTATCTCAGAGACTTAATTAATTACAGTGCTAAACTGTTCATTTTGTACAACAAACATACTATTACACAGGTTGATTCAATTTTCACCGCACAACATCCATATTATTGGATTTCACCATGAACCATTTTTGCATCCCTATGATCCAGAATAGCATGTGGTGCTGCAAGAAGGATAGAGAGGATGCTCTATGGTTTGAGCATTCATGTGTGGCTTGGAAACCTCCTTTACCTTAGGCAAAGAGCTTGTTTTTCCCTCTGATTATCCCAAGAAGCTTCCTCTGTGATATGACATGAAACCCTACAGGCAGTGAACCAATAAACCCATTTCAGTGAGATGAGATTTCTGGTTTTGCTTACCGAGAAAAGTGGTGAGGAATCTGAAGTACTTTGGACATGGCCGTACCACAATTTCTCCCACCTCTGCTTCAGGCCAGCACGTGATGTTGTCCCATTGCCTTCTGCAACCTGCGGCAAAGAGAAAAGCAGATGTTGGAGTGGAGGAACTGGGACAGAGCAGAGCGGCTGTGCACAGGTGTGTGGAGACTACCACCTTGGTTCAGGCACCTTTTGGAAAGAAAAAATACCGCACCTATTCTGCAAGGGCAACTGGGAAGGGGAGGAAGGACAGGAGGGGATGTGCCTACCTCGCCAAGCAGGGACCTGTTTCCATTCTGCTTCCTCTCTTAAGTTTGCTCCCTCTGCCTGCTGGCAAGAGGATATGGAATTAACTGTGAGCTGATTGCCCTCCATCTGCTGCCTTTGCCTTCGGGGTGGTAGGCTGGGGAGTGAAGACCTCTCTCCTTCTCACACTCCCTCATATTCCTCAGCCTCCCTACTTCCTCCTCCAGTTCTGCCACCAGCTGAGCAGCTCATCAACCTGTTCACCCCTCAGGAAGAGGTGTCTCTGTTGCCCTCAGTTATGAGGGACAGGCTCAGGCACTCCCTGCAGCCAGAGACCTGGACGGCAGCATCCCTGAGCGGGAGCACTGTCTGGGTTGCCACGTTTCTCGAGGAGTGGCTTTCCTCCAAAATTTTATTTAAACCTGTGGTTTTCAGCTACCCCACTCCTTGAAATTCAGCACTGGTGGAGTCTGCAATTTTCCAGAAATCAGCAGATTGGTGCAATAACCAGGCAAATCAGGGTTAACAGAGAACAGCGCCTTTTTATAGATGAAAAGAGCAGATATGCCTAATTAAATATCTCTCTCCCTTGCCCTTATCTCTCCCTGCTGCATTAAAACACCTGGTCTGAACATGTGAGACATGCCACCTTTACTTCTCCACTTCCCTCTAACTTCTGTTACAAGCTTTTTCTTCCCCTTGAAATGTGATG